TCTCTCTCTCTCTCTCTCTCTCTCTCTCTCTCTCTCTCTCTCTCTCTCTCTGTGTGTGTGTGTGTGTGTGTGTGTGTGTGTGTGTGTGTGTACAGTATGCAAAGGCAAAAGAGGCGGAGGGAAAATACGAACAAGCAGTTGCTGCTTACGAGGCCGCAAAGGTAATGGCAAAAAGTTACGTCTGCCGTGGACAACACCTCATTGTGTCTTTCCCTTTGCCTGATTTATTCTTGTGTGTGTTTTTTTTTTGTCGTTTTTCTACTTTTTAAGGCCAGGGAGAGGCAGAAAGACAGGGTGGATACAGCTCCCTTGCATCAGACCAATTCTCGCTGTGCTCGTGTCCGCACCGAAACATGCGGAGTGACATCAAAATCTTCAAGATCAATGGTTTATTTGGGAAAGGAAAGATAAAGGGGAAAAAAAAAAGAAAAAAGAAGTACGTGTAATGGCTACAATCCCCCCAAACACAACACCTGTCAGACGAACCAACGTCTACCAACAACCCACGGTCTCTTGACCATGTTTCAATCCTATTCACACAGATTGACGAGCCGTGACGTGCTGACCTCCCGGGCTCGTTCCGCCGGGCCAACACCCAGGCGCAGCAACTATTCCGATTGTGTTAAAGAAGGCATAGGTATCACTTGAATGGGGCTTCTTGTCACAATTCAGAAACCCAGTATCATGTCTAACTTTTGTTTTCCTCTTTTTCAACTAAACTATGTTCTTCTCTCAAGTATGCCTCACACCACCTACCTATATGACTACGCACACCAGGAAGAGCCAACCGAGATCTACAAGGTACCAGGCGCAACCGAAATCTACCAGACCTACGCACCAACCCCCAGCAAGGAATTGCACATGCGCAAAGGCCTCTGGGAGAACCCGGGACCCTACCAAGACCGATCAGGGGGGGCAAGCCAACTATCTCAGCTGGTACCATCTCTGATTTATTCCGAATACTAACGAGCTTTCAAGCAAAACTGCTGACTAACATCGATTCAAACTACCCATCAATAGCCAAAACGAGATGAGATGCTCGCCACTCCTACCCACCATAAAAGTACACTACCAAAACGAGATGAGTTGCTCACCCACCACTCCTACCCACCATAAAAGTACACATTCAAGCCATTAGTTTGCGACCAATACAAGTGATGCGGTTGTGACGTACCGCACCACCTGATCGAGTCAGATGATTGATTCTTTTGACCAATGATGCCATAGAGCAAACTCAGCAAACAGAAAAAAACCTATTTATGCTATACTTGTCAAATTTGCAAGACTTACTTAGTCCCCTTTTTACCCATCATAAAAGTGGTCTCAACTGGCACAAGCAATTAGTAGCTATTGGACTCATGAAGCTGTGTGTCCAACTGCTGCCACTTGATCGAGTACAATGGTGCTTGATTGACAAACTCCCATCAGGCAACACCAACCCCACACATTAATGTTCTACCTATCCTACAGATTGTCAGATTTGCAATATCATCTGAAGAGAATATATTTACAACTGGATCTAACAAAATGCGATCGCCGATCAGTGCATTTAAATGGATTAGTCTTCGAGAGATGGGAACTGTGCACAGCTAAAACGACGGCGTGCGACTAACTATAGATGTCATAGATTTGGTTCCAATCCCCCAGATGAGAGATCCACCAGGCTCACAAGTCTCCCCTGACTTGTTATTACCAAAATGATGGAGGTATGCAACTTCAACTCTCCGACCCTTTCGCATTCGCAGGCATGGTGGCAAGACATAAATCTTCGTCAAAAGGTACACCAACAGATGGATCATTGCCCAGCGAATCAGGACCCATTTGCTGGCGCACCTATACAGTTGCAAATTTGACACTCCCTGCATAGCACTGTTCCTCACGGTCCTGACGTCTGATATCGACGAGAAACACAATGGCAACGGGCGTACAGTATGCATATCTGTCACAGGCATCTCCCTGTGAGACCCCCTTTGGTCATCAAATCAACAGCCATCCACCATCAGATGTAAAGCCAGATCGGCATGGCTGCATCGGATGCGACAAATGATCGTCCACAATGCTCGTTTCTGGCACAGATATCTCCCATCGAAAGACAATGGATACTCGCCCATCAGGCCTTTGCCTGTTCACGACGCATTTAGTCTACCATGTACATATGTACAACTTGTACATTATGACCCGATACAATGTGCATTTACTATTTACAAATCCGACCGGGTACTTGCAAATTCAGCTAATACCTTCCCCACGACGCATTTACCTCCTTAACACACACACACACACACACACACACACACACACACACACACACACACACACACACACACAGCGAGAAAGAGGGGCGTGCGCAAGACTATTATCCTAAGATGGCAATGGTTGTATCCCCCTGCACAGACCTCTTATCCCCTACAATGGCTTCCTGACCCCCTTGGCCTCCAGGAAGGAATCTATTGCTAGCTCTAGTCCGCTCTCTCAGTGCGGCCCTCTATTATCAGTTGTTGAAACTTCCATTCGCCAATCAAGATGTAGTGTGTTATCTCACTAGGACCAAGTGAATGCATCCAATGGACCAATGACACATTTTAGGTCTTATTGTCCCTTCTTGCCACTGGTTGATGCAGCGACCAACGTTTCGGCTCATTCACTCTTTTGAACACTGGTTGATGCAGCGACCAACGTTTCGGCTCACTCACTCTTTTGAATGGGCTTGATTGGGATCAGCATCTTCCCATCGACATCTAACACTTCAGTGCCATAGACAGCACTAAGCTCAGTCATCTTTGCTACGACCCATTTCCGTTCTGCATTTGTCAGCTTCTGAGTCACAGCGAGGTTGTGAATCTTTGTAGGATAGAGCTCCATATGAGACCAGCTCCAGCCACGCGGCTCTCTGCTCTCGCCACCATCTTCAGTGGAGACAAGGACAAATGCACACCCAAGATCATTCCGCATGTTTCGATCAACAGCGTAGTCATCGATGAAGTCTCCACATCCATAGATGATGGGTGTTCCTTTGTATATCTCCACCCCCTGAACATGATGCGCCGAGTGTCCATGGATAAGATTGATGCCACATCGATCCACAAGCTGATGAGCAAGTGTTTTTATGGCACCGCTGGGTTCCCACGACCAGTTTGGTCCCCAGTGGAACGACATGAACACCATATCGGCTCCATTCCTCCTTGCTTCCTCAGCCTTGGCCTGAACTCTGAGTAGATCATCTTCGGTCGCATTCCTCGGATCAATGTATTGGATCCCCGGTCGATCGGAACCCGCCGCCCAGTAATCGAAGTGGTCTGCTGCACTAAGGCATGCAACCTTCTTGTTTCCTAACTGAAGATAGGCTGGCGAGGACGCCTGGTCAAGATTCTCTCCACACCCCGCAAACTTTATGCCCGCTTCTGTCAATGTCCGCATGGTCTCTCGCATGCCGGACACCTGGAAGTCCAGGATGTGGTTGTTTGCCAGCGAACAGTAATCGATGCTGGCTTCTTTGAGTGTGCGAACATTTGCGGGGTGCATTCTGAAGTTGAAAGCTTGCTCGGGCCACTCTTCAGAACTCGTCGTCACGCTCGTTTCCAGATTGACCAATCGAAGATCTACGCTGTGAAACAGTGCAAGCGTGTCCCCCCAAACGTACAAGTAAGGGCCCATTTCTTTCAGCTGCTTCAGGGACTCTTTATCCCTTCGCACCAGGATTACTCCCAGTCCTTCATCCGCAGGGTCGTAGTTATGTGTGGGAAATAGCTGATCCACAAGCCGCCCAAGCATGACATCGCCGACCACCAGGACCTTCGACACCTTCCCATCTCCAGACAGAGCCATGAATCTCTCCGCTACCCCCCCCGCCGTTCTCAAACAGCGGGTGGCCCCAGCCAGCTGCTTCAACTCCCTGGCAGCCGCCACAGGCGCTCCACAACTCACCCTGCACTGTCTTGGGAATGTGGCACTGGTACGATCCGACAGTTTTGAAAAGAAGCAGTGGACGGCACTCCATCCAAGTGCCGACTGCAATCTATGCCGTGTTCGCTTCAAGGACCACAGCAATTGCATGCTCTGGCAGGAGATCAGACTGGTGTGCCAATGCTGCGTCAGGCAGAAAGTCCCCAGCATAGTCGGACGCCGTTCATCGAACGACTTTCAATGTGGGCATTCCCATTCTGTCAAGTCGCATTAAAGTTCGCCCTTTTGCACAAATTCCAAACTTAAATGTTGTTTTGGTCCAGGCAGTCGATGCTCAGGTGAGCACTCTTCTCTCCCTGTTGCTTCACAAGAGGCGGAAGATGTGTTACACACCACTCCAATGCTACATTTGACAGGGTCAATGATGGACGTTTCACCTACGCTCAAGAGGAAAGGTCCGCAATCCGATTGTGCACCGATATCTGCTGCATGAGGAGACAAAAAGGCACAAACACACAGACAAGGACATTCCCTCCGTTGCTGAAACCGAGCTGACACTGATTATTGTTTCTTCGCCTTTTCCTTCACATTCCTCCTCCTTTTCCCTTCATTGTCCTCTTCCCTTTCCATCCCAAGCGCCATTCCGTAAGAGCTCCGACTCTTCTGCCTGCGATAGTCGCCAAGTGGCAGGGAATAACTGGCGAGCGCCAGCAACAGCGACAGCGACAGCTGGCAGTTACCTGGTTGGCAGGTAGCAAGTCAGAACTGACACGTGGCAGGTAGCAAGTGGCCAACGAGATGTGCTTATGTGACAGCTGGTCAACAATAGATTACAGGTGCTAGGGCACAGTACCAGGTGACAGGTGGTAGCGGCAGGCCAACGATGGGTGACGCATGACCGGTTGGCAATATGAATGGTGAAGAACCATTTTGAGGGCACGAAGCAGGCAGTGTGACAGTTGTACGAATCACACGTGACAACTGACAGGACCAAGGTGTTGTGTTCCATTGATGCAAGAGAACGTGACAGGTGAAAAGTCACAAGGGTGACGTAATAGACTTCCAAAACTTGATTGACTGATTGGCTGGTTGCTTGGCTGGTTGGTTGGTTGGTTGGTTGGTTCGTTGGTTGGTTGGTTGGTTGGTTGATGTGGATCTTCCCTTTGGTCATTGGCAGGATCTTGACAATGTCGTGCGGTTGCTACTAACAGTGCCGCGCAATCCTCAAAGGGCATTCGCGATTGTTCGACAGGTATCTCTGCATCCTATAGTTTTTTGCTCTTTTTTACACTTGTCATAATCACCTGTGGTAAGCTTTGTGGACATTTCACTGGCTACCACATCAGAGCACGATAATCACCGCACTGGTCACTTGACTCTGGTTCAAGACAACACCAATGGTTGAAAAATAGAGAACCTACTCCAGTCCTACCACAAAAGCTGCAGTCCAGAGGCAGTGGCTATGGGAGAGAGAAACAGTTGGTAGGGGAGTGGAGTGGGACCTGCAGGTTGTGGTGTGCATCATCTCTGGAATTGCACTAGCATCAGGCCCCGCCAGTGGTATTTGTGTTCGGTCGGCATGAATTTGGCCACTACTTCTTTCCTTTTCGGGCTTGCGCCGACAGCCACTGTGTTCCGGTAGGTCGAGTCTCCGAAATTTTCGCAGGTGACGAGTTTCTTTTTCAGCAAGCCTGGGGACGTGTACTGGCGGTTTAAACCACCGCTACGATTTTGCGGCTCACCTGGAAAGATGAGCAGATGGCAGAGAGACGAAACAACGCAGAAACCCTACAGACCAGCTGGGAAAAAAGTCAAAAAAAAAACTAAGTTGTCCTGGTAAGCTGGCCAGTCGATAGTGGTGTGGCGGTCTAAGTCCTGATCGAAGCCATTTAAAAACTGCAGAAGTCCTATGGACCAGGTGAAATTCAGAAACAAATGATACCACCCTCATCAGGCCTACATGGAAAACGAAACCTTGTGGCTTTGCAAGTGTTAAACCCTAAATCATTTTTGCAAGTGTTAAACCCTAAATCATATTTTACTTTGGAACACCTAATTCATAGAATGATCTCCAGTTCTTCTGCTCAGTTTTCGGTTTTTTTAGCCAAGCAGAAGAAATTTAAACTTTTAACCCTTAATTTTACATGAGAGCCGGATCTCATAAAGTGATCTCCAATTCTTCTGCTCGTTTTTTTTTTTTTTAACTGAGCAGAAGAAATTTGAATTTTTAATCCTCCTTTTCTCCGTGACAGATGCATTTCATAAAGTGATCTCCAATTCTTCTGCTCCGTTTTTGTTTCCCCTTCTTTTGGGGGGCAAGTTGGAAGGGAGACGGGAGGGAGGTTGTGTGGAGGGGAGGGGGGCAGGAACGGGGAGAGTGGAATTCAGGCCGGGGAACTCGTGAATATAATGACCTTCTCAGCACATTAGGGTTTAGGGTTTAACATTTGCATTGTATTAGGGTTCATGATTCTTTTCTTCTGTTGCACGTGTGCATACAATGGGACATAGGGGTAAAAAAAAAAAAAAAAATCCACATTGGGGTTTACTAGGAAGATTTTCATGACCGGCCGGTCACCCGGCCCGGGTGGGTCTGACGCCCGGGATACCCAGGCATGGGGTGGGGG